TTTCCACTCTACAACTCTATGATTCTATGAAGCTGTGCAAAAGAAGAGGGAGATTAAATATTTCCAAAGGACAACCAAAAACAGGGAGAAGGAGGAATTGGTTGAAGCTGAGGCAAAAAGGGGTCCTCCGGCAAACTCATCTCCTTAGCCCAGGAAGCTCTGGGACCATCTCCTACAGAAGCTTTTTGTAGGACACCAATGAGCATCTGTTAGGGGTCAGAATCCTGCCAGGGAAGATAATCTAACAACCACTTGGAGTTTCCAGGAAGCCATGATTTTCTGTTGCTGAGACCTTTGAGGTCCTTTTCCAGAGTTAGCAGTTGGGTCAGATTCTCTTGTGTAACCCCACCCCCACCCCCACCCAATGGGAATGTCTGATCAGCAGTGCAATGATAGGATAGTACGGGGTGGAGTGCCAGGGAAATGCAGGCTTCAAAGGACAAGGCTTCGTCACCCCCAGATCCGGAGCTGTCCTTGCATCTGAGGGAAGGGCTCCCAGCAGCCAGTCACCCATCCTGAAACCCCGTGTGCTCTTCCTCAGCCAGCCGAGATGAAAGCTCTGTTTGGCCACAGCCCTTTCAATAACAACCACCCCCACTCTTAAGCCCTAAAATTAGAGCTTTCTTTGAGCCCGAGGGTGATGCCAGGGAGAAGATAGCACAGCAGTGTTTATATACGCAGGTTTGAATTGTTCTCCCCCCCACCCCAGCCCCACTGTCTATGTTGCAGTAATTACAGAGTTATGGCCTGCCGGAGTTTGGTTGTTTGCAGCCTGGCTAGACATGGCATCGTTCTTGGGCATCTGGCCTCGCCCAAGCGGCAGCTGGGAATGTGCTGGATCATCAAACCGCAGCTCACCTCAGCTCCCAAAGCAAGGTAAGAGCCAACCAACCTGGGGCAGATCAGTGGTCGAGCCACACCAGCCTCTACTGGCATGGGTTCTGCTACGAGCGAGCTACAGAATAGGGTAACCATGGTACACTTCTTCTCAATCCTGCCTACACCACCCAATGACTGCAGCTCAGTGGTCTCAGGTTCAGGCCCTGTCATCTCCACATAGGGCTGGAAGAGACTCCTGTCTGGACCCCTGGAGAGTCGCGCTGCCAGTAAAGGAGGCAGTGCCAGGCTAGAAGGCCCAGTGGTCCGTTCTGGAGGTCTTGTGCAACAAACCCACCTCCCACAAAGACTGGACTTTTTGCAGTAAGGAAAGTGATGGGGAAACACACTGGAAAGTGTGGGATAACATTTGCTTGATGCAACATTGTGTAACCTTGCTGCAAACAAATTATAGAATCATAGAACTTCTAGAGTTGGAAGGGACCACAAGGGGACACTCACCCCAGTAAATAACAATGGGGAGCTTTCCAGCTGTTGCTCATAATGTTATCAGTTGACCAAAGCAAGGATGAAAACAACCTGTTCCAATTTTGTTTAACAGCAACTTGATATGCAGATGGAAGTTGTGGTGGTGGCATTTAGGTTACCCTTTTCTATGTCCTCTGATCAAGCTGGAATTCAAGACACAGAATCAAGGTCAGATAATATGTTGACAGCATCCAAGGCCTGTTGAGTCTCTGAGCTCTGTTGCTCTTCTCTGCATCAGAAAACCAGTTTTTCAAGTCCTGATCCCTTCTCAGTAACTGGGTTTCTAATTGGGTTTATCTGTCCTGCCATAGTCAACCCAAATCATGCATCCAAATCATGCCTAGGCAGAGACTCGCACAGAGAGACCACTGACAACTTCAGCACACCAAATCTACTCAATACAGCACTTATTTGTTTTTGGAGCAATCTGGTGTTCCTCACTGTGGACATATAAATCACCTTGCGATGAATGTAAAAGGGGGTTAGTTAATTAATTAATAATGATACTGATGAAGATTCTGATGATAACAACAACAACAGTAAATAATGTTAGGGGCTGGATTTTTATTGTACCAACAATAAATTGCTTTATTCTCTCCCCCTCCCCTTTTTAAAGGTTAAACACCTATTTTGCCATGGAGAAATATTCAACCCAGTAAAATGTTCAATGCATTAAGAATGTGCCCATACCACAGACAACGCCTTTCAGATGCAGGTCAGATGTTTTACATCTCCTGATATACAGTTCTTGTTAACCTGCCCTGGGACTGGCTGGCTATAAATACAAATAAATACATACATAAAACACAAGCAGGGCAGGTCGGATATGCTTTATAGGCACCTCAAATCAGCACTGAATGGCACTAACAACCAGTATGGAAATGCTCTCACGTTTTAGTAATTGAATAAAATAAGTCAATATTCTTATCACCCAATGAATTGAGCTGGTCCTTTAAAAAGAAAAAGAAAAATTCTGACTGGGGCCATAAACCCCAAGCTAAGAACATAAGAAGATCCAGCAGGATAAGGCAGTGGCCCATTCAGTCCAGCATCTTGTTCTTACAGTGCCAGTTAGATGCCTGCAGGAAGCACACAAGCAGGATTCGAGCACAACAGAACTCTTCCCTCCTGTGGGTTCCAGTAATTGGCAATCAGAAGCATACTGTCTCCAACAGTGGAAGTAGCTTTCAGGTTGCTACAGTGCAGCATGGTCTTGCTGCAGTAGTTTTCAGTTATGTCAGGGGTGGAGAACGTGTGGTCCTCCATCTCCCATCAGCCCCAGCCACTATGGCCAATGGTGCTCAACATCTGGTGGGTCACAGGTTCCCCACACCTGGCTTAAGCAGTGAGAATCATAGAGTTGGAGGGGCCTAGTCAACAATCCTGAAAGGTCAACAACCTTGAAAGGCTTAGTGTTAGTATTAGTGTTCCATTCAGCAGATGAGGGCCAAGAAAAGAATGGCTTGCTTAAGGTGACAGAGGACGAGATGGTTGGATAGTGTTCTCGAAGCTACCAACATGAGTTTGACCAAACTGCGGGAGACAGTGGAAGACAGGAGTGCCTGGCATGCTCTGGTCCATGGGGTCACGAAGAGTCGGACACAACTAAACGACTAAACAACAAGATGACCTAGTGAGTCTCTGGCTGAGACAATAGTTGAACCATTGATTGTCCAGCTCAAGGCCTACACTCTCACCCACTATGTTATACTGGCAGTCCACAAGTAAAAATAGAACTTGCCAGGAATCAAGGTTGCCTCTCCCAGCCTATGGCTCATAACATCCTCAAGACATCTCAACTTGCATTGACCTCCAGTCAGGTTTCAGAATGAGGAATTACAAATACTATTTCAGTTGGGCAGGAGCAAAGCAGAAGAGACATATCCTGGAAAAGGCAAGAAGCATCCAAGATGCTGGATGCTTCGAAGAGAAGGAAGTCACAGGGTCCATCTTTTCCAGCTTTCTGTGTGTTTTCAGAGCCTGGCCCACTGGGCCCCCCATCCCCTCACCCAGCACAGAACTGGGCTGAGCTCTCAGAAGCTCAGAGCAGCAGGACATCCACCATCAAAGAGGATTCCTCCCTGGCCAGTTCCAACCTGTTTTCTGCCAGCCCTGCAGTACAGGGGAACTGAAATGGGCTGGGCTCTTCCAAGCCCAATGCAAGGCTTGGTCCAAGGCTACCTGGAAGAGCCTGTTGTTTGGGGGGCAGCACAAACACTCACATGCTCAGAGCAAACTGCCCCGTTTGCACTTTATTATTCCTATTAATCATGTACTTGGCATTTGCACACACTTTGAAGTACTATATTATTATCCCTATCATACAAGGAGAAGGAGGCAATTACTAGGCCCGCTTTACAAAAGGGTAATTGAAGTCTCATCCAACCCCCCCCCCCGCAACCCCCATCCACTAAGTCCGCAGCTCATGTGAGTTTTGAATCCAAACCCAGCATGCAATGCAAAGCACCACACTTTCTCCCTTGAGGAAAGGAGGAAAGTTGCTCTGTGCAGGTGGAAAAGTTATCTCATCCTGTACATTGCAATACTGTTGTTGTTGTTGTTTATTAAATTTCTATACTGCCTTTCATCCAAATTGCTGTTTGCTCCAAGTGAGGGCTAAAGAGCAATATTCCTTGGGGGAAAGCAGCGGGACAAGAGGAAGTGTTGATAAGCCTTCTCTCTCCTATAGAATTTGGAATTTGTCTTTTTCAAGATGAAGCTTGCCACCTCGATTTTTGTTTTAAGTCTTTGTTTTTACAAGTCATTTAAAAAGAATTTAGATCTGCTGTTCAACTACGTTTTGAAAGTCTGTGGGTAAATGTTTAAAGCTGATTTGTCTTATTAAGTAATAACTGACCTGACATTGCAGCCCTACGCTGCACCTGCGATTTTGGATCCACATGTAAATGTCGTGATAGCAGACCACTAGCTTACTGATGTTAGGTGTCATGAAAGGGCAACAGATTGCTGGTTTACCCCATACACCCAAAGTATTTTTGTTTCATTTTTACTCCCAGGCAGTCATTCGTAGAATTTGTTGTCTCAGATGTGAAAAAGATGTATGATCAGGCTTGGGGACTATGCACTTTGATTTGGGAGGAGGTGTGCAACTTGCTGCTCCACCTCAGGCAGCAGAATGTTTGGTCTGGGCCTGGGAAGGTCCCAGGTTTATTCCCTGACATCTCTTGCTAAAGGTGGGCAAGACTCTTATCTGATATCCTGTAGTGCTGCTGCCCACCAGTATAGAAAACACTGAGCTGGATAGGTACACCAAAAACTCTGGTAAAAAGCAGCTTACTATAATCTTATGCAAAGCCTATGAAAATAATGCCATCAGAGATGGAATCATCTGTCTCTAGACCCTGTTAGATTAACCTTTTAAATATGTTTTGGGGAAGGGGTTATTGGTTTGCTTTGTTTTTGGTATTATTATGTACTTTGTGGTTTTATGGTGTATTTTTATGCTGTGAACTCCCCTGAGATCTTTGGATGAAGGGTGGTATAAAAATTCAATCAATCAATCAATCAATCAATCAATAATAAAGATATGCATAGCCCAGTTTAGTGGGCCTTTCAAGATAAAGATGCATATACATTTACTTTTGTGTAGGTCTCATTGGTTCAACTGGTCTTACCTGCTCCATCCATCTGTGCCATGCAGGCGTATGTCCCATGTGGCCTGCAGACTTCCGCATGCCGTTATTATTGTTACTGATATTATTCATTTGATGTCTATGCTGCCTTTCTTCCCAACCAGGAGCTGTGAGGTATTTGTCTCTCCTATCTTGGTCTGTACAGCCACAGCAGACTTCCAACAGATTGACTTCACTGCCAAAGGCGTACTCCTCTATTTTCTCCAAAGACGGACACCAACAACCGTCTGGCCCTCAGCTCTAGCACTCCATTAGAGAAGCTTTCCTTGTTAACTTGCTTGCCAAGCATCCCCCTTGCACGATTCTGGGAGGTGTTCTTCATCATCTGCAGAGTTCATACAAACTTCTAGTCAGGCCTAGGAGGTTTGCCTCGATTCTTCCCAAGCTGACTCTTTGGCTCTTGTTCAGTGAGCACCAATATCTTGGCACCTCTTAGGCTGCATGGATGGGTCTGGGTGGCATCCCACCTTGTTCCAGGCAGGCCAAACTGTAAGGATCTCTGGGCCACGAGAGCCAAGAAGCCCCAAACCCAGCCACTGTGGACCACCCCCACCAAACACCCCACCTTGCCTCTGCATACTCGCCATCCCTTGGGCTGTAATTAAGCTGCAGCTGGAAAGCCCCAGCACCCAAGAGCTGGGGATGGGGCCGACCGCAGGCAGCTGCAGGCACCCACATGAGAGGGTGGATTAGAGGGTGAGGCCCCACCCAGCCCATTGATCTCCTCCAAGCTGATCAGCCAGAGCAGGCAGCTTTTGACACACACTGCTGCCCCTCCTCTGCCCTAGTTTCCATGGCAACTACAGACACAGTGGCTTTGCTGCCCAGTCAGGCCCAAAGACTTCTAGGCCGAACTTGGATAGGCAAGGCCTGATTCAAACCGGCTGCGGGAGCTGCTTTGCAGCACCAGAACTTCAGCCTGATTGCACAGCTGAGGGAGTTCATGGCACTGGGCACGAATCCATCCATATAGGTATCTCCTGCTCAGCACCGGCAATCTCATGATTCCTTCTTCAGAAATCGTTACTCCTAGGTTATACAGGCAAGGAGCTGGGTAAGGAGCCGAGTAGAGACAAATGCATTTTTATTTTAAGTCTAATTTTAATTGAAATCAGATTTTTGTAATTAAAAATGAGTATAAGTGCCTTGTTCAAAAATAACCAGATTTAAGCAAAATTATTAGTAGCAATAAGCATGTTGAAGACTGCTTTCCACTGTAAAAGAGAGGGGGTGGGGTGAGGGGTATCTGATTTTGGAGGTTAAGTGCGGTAAATGCATTCATTTGCCATATGAATGACTCTTAGGAGAAAGTTATAAGAGCAACCTAAAGTAAAAGGCATTTTCACCTTGGGCCAGTCACTGTCTCTCAGTCTAACCTCACAGGGTTGTTGTGAGGAGAAAATGGGGAGGAAGGAACCATGTACACAACCACCCTGAGCTCTCTGGAGGAAAAGTTGGAATATAAATGCAATAAATAAACAGAACTAAATCGATTTCACTTGCAATCATAAATCGCAAATCACCATTTGGACACCTTTGCATTAAAAAAACCCTAGGGTAATGTGATGAAAATTATGAGTAAAATGTGCACCCTGCAAAGATGTGGAATTCTGTTTGGGATGTTCCTCTCACTTTCAGCTTCTTCTTCCAAGATTTCTCACTGTCCCCTTTATACTTTTTGTTTTCCAGAGTAGCTCTCCAGCCATGTTAGAACCTCCTTTGTTACCAAGAGCAGATTTAATCATTATGCTGAGTATGCCGTAAACAGCTAAATTAAGGACCTTGCTATGATACAAAGCACAGCTGGTCTACTCTCTATGCCGAGCAATTTTAAAAATCCCCATATAGGGTGGGATTTTAGGGGGCTCTGGGGAGAATCACAGGCATGGATTTTTATTCACGCCCAGCTGTTCTCCAAGTACAAAGCCATTCCATGAATTATGTGAGAGAAAGACCCTTCCCACCCACTTTCCCTCTACCCTGTCCACTTTTGGTATGACAGGCATGCCAACTTTACCTTACACTTTGCAGCTTTCGGGTCTTCAAAAGGGAAAGTGGAGTCAAAGACTGAGATCAGGTTAGCAGGGTAAGAAATAGAAGGTGAGGCTGGATAATAGTTATCTACTTTGAATGAAGATATTAGGAAGTAGAAGTGGGGAACCACAAGTTGGGGCTGGGCGATCCAAGGACCCAGAACATCAAAACTTTGTGCAGGGTCAGCTCTTAAACATTAGGCAGAGCAAGGCAGCCTCGTGATTTTGAATGTCATTGAAAGAGCAGTGCATTCCTAGGTTTTCATTTATTGTTACAGTATTGTACTTCTATTGCCAGGGAGAGACGTTTCTGGGATTTTCTGCCTTAAGTGCCAAAATAACACAATTATCCCAGAGCTACTATGCACCTTGACTTGGGGCTGGGGTGCTATTTGCTGCTATAACTCAGGCAGCAAAATATATTGGGCCTTGTGAAACAATAATGGAAGGTCTTTCTTTGAGCTACTGATTTATAGCCCTTCTTTTGGAAACATTTTTTTCTTCACCTGAGCAATAGAAGAGAAAGGGTGTCACTGGCCTTCTGAAAGAACTGTGGGACCTTCTTCCTTAGCGCTAGCTTTGCCTGTCACCTCCGACACCAGGAGCAGAGTTGGTTGGGGTGCTGCTGTGATTGCTCCCCCACCTTGTTTCAGATTCCTTTTCAAGCAAGAATGGAATATGTCTGCAGCTGGGCGTTCCCTGTGCATCGCTAGTGCCCCTGGGGGAATACCTCTCCTCTGATGGGTGTTCTGAGCCGGGAATAAATACCAAAAGCCTTACTCAGAGAGAGGGAGGGAGGGAGAGCTCTTACAATTGCTCACTACCTTCCTCCAGGAGATGCAGTGATCTCCAGCAAGGGAAAATCCCAGTGTGATATAAAAATATTTGCTGATCAGTGCTAGAACTTTCCAGAAACTGAAAGGAATTTGGAGTTCAGAAAAATTAGGCCAACCAGAGTTTGGGCTAAGTTTTAAAACTCATAAAGATGTCTGGGGAAAAGAATGGACTAATTGATTATACTTGCAATTTCTGTAGCGCACAGACACCTCCTCATAAGATAAGGTAAGATAAGATAAGCCTGTAACTTCTGCTTTGCAACTTGGAAGTCCACAAGAATGTGCATGCATCAATTAATGTGCCAAGATTCCCCAGTGAGGCTTGTGACAGGCAAGAGCCCATATATAATGACATTTCAGATGGTTAGCTGGCTCACCCATTGTCTAGTTTTTTGGGTCTTTAAGCAGAGAAGAAGAAGAAGAAGAAGAAGAAGAAGAAGAAGAAGAAGAAGAAGAAGAAGAAGAAGAAGAAGAAGAAGAAGAGTAGTAGTAGTAGTAGTAGTTTGGATTTGATATCCTGCTTTATCACTACCCGAAGGAGTCTCAAAGCAGCTAACATTCTCCTTTCCCTTCCTCCCCCACAACAAACACTCTGTGAGGTGAGTGGGGCTGAGAGACTTCAGAGAAGTGTGACTGGCCCAAGGTCACCCAGCAGCTGCATGTGGAGGAGCGGAGACGCGAACCCGGTTCCCCAGATTACGAGACTACCACTCTTAACCACTACACCACACTGGCTCCAGTGCGGGACAGCCTCGCCACCAGCTCTCTGTTCTTCTCAGGTTGGTCTTAACCTGGTGTTTATGGAATAGGTTTGCCATCTTTTTTCTGACAAGGTCGGGCTGTCAAAGAAGTCCAACAAAAATGGAAAATGAAGTGGAAATTGCTGCAGTTAGTGTGTTTGTCTGTGCTCAGAAATGGAAGTCACTAAAGTGAATCTGATTGATCTTTCTTCACATCACTGTTGTTTTTAGGTCCACATATGATGTGTAATGAATGACATTTTTTACACTGTTTTGATGCTTCGTTTATATTGAAATGAATTGCGTAAATTACACAAATAGGTAAGTTATATAACTTACATTAAATTTGCAGACTTTGTATTTGGCAGAAACCAAACTGCAGCATAATAGAAACATCATTGATTGTAAGAAATACAAGTTGGAACACAAACTGCCCACCTTCTTACATCCCTGGACCCAGGGCTTGGCAAAGCCTGGGTGTAGTGGTTAGAGCAGGGGTCACCAGCCTTTTTGGGCCTGTGGGCACATTTGCAAATTGGAAAAATTATTGTGGGCACCACATACACATTGCAATCTATTCTATTGGCTACATCAGAATGCTTCTCTGATGTCTAATTCCAGCAAGGGGAGAGGAGCCTGTGGGCACCAGGGAAAGGAGGGCACATGTGGTGCCTCTGTGGGCACATGTGGCAACCCCTGAGTTAGAATGCCATACTAGCTCTAGGGACATCCATATTCAAATCCACAGGCAGCCATGACACACACTGGGTCAGTCATCATCTCTCAACCTAACCAACCATGTAGGGTTGTTGCGAGCTTAAAAGAGAAGGGAGGAAATTAATCATGAAAACCAGCATGAGCTCCTTGGAGGAAAGGTGAGATATACATGTAATGCAAGTAAGTAAGTAAGTAAGTAAGTAAGTAAGTAAGGACTGAATTTCTACCAGGGCTCAACACTAGAACCCATTTTCAGTAGCAGGGACAAGGCCTTGAACGCATGAAGGCATAGTTAACAAAAGTGCATCTGAACATGTGAGCATGTACAGAGTACTTTTCTCTTTTCCTGCTGGGCAACAGTTCTCTTGCCACGAAGCATTCCCTTTCAGCAAGAGGTTGAAGTGTTTATCTAGGCTGAAAGTTTCCACAAAAAGGCCATTCTCCTTAGAGCATCCTGTAGAAAGGAGTTTCAGCAAAGTGTGGCTTGTCCCACTGCAGCAGCACTAGACTGCAGCACCAGAAGCTGCACCCATCAAAATTCACCCCGGGCTCTTGCATTATCAACTAGAACTTGGTCTGCCCATATGCAAGAGATTTCCTTTCACCCACTGTAACAAAGATAGTGTTAACTCATGTGCATGTGTGTGTGCCACCAGTTTGGTGCTGTCAGATGCAACCAGATGCATGCCTGGTGTCTCCCCACTGTTACCAGTCCAACTAAGTTGTGCCTCCTGCCACATCCTAGCAAAGGTGATGTCAGGGAAACCACAGCATCGCATGCAAGATCCTTCTATGTCATGCAGTTACTCCAGTGTGCTTGATGTAACGTAGCCTAACACTGTGCTAAGACCTCTCGTGCCCTTCCCAAAGAAGCAGAGACGTTTGGATTTTGCTTGGTGTCTGTTCTGCTCCCACGGCATGTGGCCACTCGCTTCCCTAGGTGGGTGTTTGTTCAAACCTGGGCTTATTGGTAAACAGCATCAAATGGGAAATGGCTTCATTGGAATGCAGAGCTCTTTTTAAACGTGATCAGAAAGAAGCTTTGTTAATGGTTTTGCTGTAAGGTTGCCAGATTGCATCCTGGAGGTGCCACTTTTACCTTCCTGGGTTCTGTCCCTCACCTTCTTCCCACTGACAAAACTAGAATGCTGCTGGCTTTGGCACACAGAGGAGGAAGAGAAAGGAGAAGGCACAGGCCTTCCCGCTGCACTGCTAAAGGTAAAATAAACCTCTCCTGTTTACAGCCCAGCAATCTTACTGATGACTTTTCTGACTAACAGCCTCAGACACATCAAAAGACTGCATGGAGATTGGTCCACTGGGGCAAAAGGGCCATTGCAGTCTACCCACAGCCAGCTCCCACCTGCCCGCTGTCACAGTTACAGCGGGTGGCTCTGCCTGTCACTGGCTCTACCTCTACCAGCTAGAGAGCTTGTATGACAAGCTAGGATGCAAGAACTTAGTTTACTAGCCCTTATGTAAGATATGTGTCATGTTCCAATCTTTAAAATTAAATTGTTCAAAAGGAAAAAAAAGGCAGGCAGTTCACCCAGTGTTTTGTGGAATATGGTGAGATCAGATGGGAGATTTGATCCATTTTGCAGCATTTATTTTGATTTAAGTTGGGGTTCTGATGTTTCATCAGATGAGCCTTTGGTCTGATCCAGCAAGGCTCTTCTCGTGATGTATGTCTGTGCATGTGTTGGCGGGAGGGATTAGTAGAATGCCTGCTGCTGTCCTTCCTCACAAGCTATATCAAGCACCCTCTGGTGTATGTTCCTTGCTGGACAGGTGAGCAATGTGCAGCTGTTGCAGGGGGTGAGCGCTGCGGGATTAGTAGCTTGAGCTAGGGGCAGGGCTGCTTTGGGAACGTGCATTATCATCAGCGGTGGCCAAGCGAGATCACAGGCTCCCAGCCAAACCCCCTTGCTTTGAGCTTGCCAACGGATGCTGAGTTCAAAGGGCTGAGGTGTGATTGATGTGTGAAGATAATTCTCCCCCCTGCTTTCCCCAGCAGCATGCACATGCACACACACACACACACACACACACACACACACACACTCCTCCTTTCCTCAGCCTGCAAAGTGGTTGTGGAGAATGCTGATGGGAACAGAGGGATCCCACATGGGTTTAGGAAGAGGCCAAAACATTTAAGGACTGGGGCAGGCAGAATGAAGTGTGTGAGGGCACTGAGCTTAGACCTTACCATGAGGCAACTCTGGCCAACTGCCCTTCAGAAGAAGGCAAACCGCATGTTTTCTTCAGCATACCCTCCAACATTTCTCCAATGAAAATAGGGACATCCTAAGGAAAAGTGGGACATTCCAGGGTCAAATCAGAAACCATGATGGTTTCTGTAAATCCCAGACTTTCTCTGGAAAATAGGGACACTTGGAAGGTCTGCTTCAGGACTGAGAGGATCAGACAGATTTTGCCTCTGATACAGTTACAAATGAGAAGGAAACACGAATGGGCTGATGCTATCAGGATGCACGTCTCGGCAGTGCCGGGAACTGATGAGACTTACATCTCATGGATCAGGTGTGGGAGCAGCAACCACACATTGAGACCCAGGGGCCAAGACTCAGTTTAAAAGGCACACTGAGAGACTAGTAGGGGTAGCCATTTGGCAGGGCCAAGGGAGAAAAGATTGTGTTAGAGTGCATGTAAGGGAGAAAAGAAGAGAGAGGAATTAGAATGCCAGCAAAGGCACAGGATCTAGCCAGAAGTGTGAGGAGGACCCAAGAGAACTAGAGGCAGTAGCAAGTGGTGGGGGAAGTCATCTTCATAATTTGCACAGGACACAAAATGTTTTTAAAGTTGCTCCTGAGCAGAATATTCTAGACTCTCTCTAGCAGATCAGATGTAAGCTTTCATATCAAACTCACAACTTAACTGTGACACAGCACCAGTGGCCAGTATAATCAGCAAGAGTCCTCCATCAACAGTTGTTTCAAGACTGAAAAGGGAATTCTCTGCACTCATATGGAACAGATTAGCAGAACAGATTAATCCATACCCAGTGGAGGCCGGCCCATGAAGATGAATGAGGCACTGCCCTACCAGCCTCAGTCTGCCATCAGCCAGCTCCCACCTACCTGCCTTCTAACTTCCACCCCGTCCAGGGGGTGGCACTGCCTGCCAACTTCCTCTTCCTTAGTCTTTCCTATGTGGAACTCAACCAGAGAGACTAGAATAACTTGGCTCTGCCTGTCATTGGCTCTGGCTCCACCTATTGTTGGCCTTCCACCTTACCAATGTTCACGGAGACCAGCTACCACCACTATGCAGACCCATAAGCAGAGAGTTGAAGGAACTTGAGGCACCAGGCCAAGACGAGCAAGCTCACAGGGCTAAAGGATGAGCTACACTACTTAAGACTTTGTAGAAGCATGGAAAACAAAGACGGCCAGCCTATGCAGATGTCTCTGTGTGTACATGTACATGCACATATGTTTCTTCTGGACAGAACAGCAATAAGACCCAGCTGAAGGCAAAACTATTCCTGAGGTTGACATCTTTTTTCTTGACAGCAGCTCTGGGCACTTCCACACAACACTTTATTGTGGCCTCTGTGCAGCATCCGCATCCACATGACAGCAGCCTCATCAAAGTGCCACCCCATATTTTCTTGCTATTAGATTAGGATTTACCGTTTCGGTGGAAAATCTGATAAGTAAAACAAACAAAATTTAACAGGCACTCTGCTCCCGAGTTCCTTTGCAGCTTGAGCACACCTTGAGCACACTGAGAGCTTGTGGAAGGAGGGGCTGGCAAGGTAAGCTTCCAGAGGTGCCAATATTGTAGTGAGCATTGTGGTAGACGTCTCTCCCCTCCCCAATTCATCCATCTAGAGGCCCTAGAGAATCTCGTGTGCCCCTCCATAGATAGAAAGGCCTTCCAGGTGCTGAGGTTCCACCCACAACCTTTGGCTGAGTGCAAATTAAATAAATAAATAAAAGCTGACAGCTCCAGAATGTGAAACCAAGATACCACCCACCACCAACCAACCTGTAGCGCTTTGGAGCCTTATGAAACAAGGTTGCAGGGAGCTCCTCCCTGGCGAGGCCTGTGCACCGTGCCCCTGGCTAGACTGGTGCACCCTGCCCACTCTTCCCTTCCCTTCCCGTCTGGTGTTCCTTTTGCAGAGCCTCAGGGCCAACATTATAGGCAGGGTGGGGATTTATCAGACAGCACCAGATACCAATAGGGTGACTCATCGTTACCCAGCCCATGCAGGGCAAAGCGGGCAACAAGGGCTGTTTAGGATGCAACAGCTTGCTTCTCACCAGAATCACCACCACATAAGCACAGGCCCTGAATTCTTTGCACATTCTGCCCATACATTGGGACCCCAGGCTGCCCACCTAAAAGGGTCGTTGGGCATTCGTAGCCAGCAAGCAAGAACACGGTGTAACTTGGGACTCTTTCCAGAGCCTTGCCACTGCCCCATTGACGCGTGGGAAGCCTTTCCCTCCTGTTACTAAATGATCATTCTGCTCCTCTTGTGCTTTTCCAAATTAGGAAATGTTGAGGTCCTCCCCAGTGCCACCCCTGTTCCCCTTTCCTAAGTACAGCAGATTCTTGGACAGGATTAGAGACACCACTGCAGCCTTGATCCAGCAAACATTTTCCAGCTGCAGCAGCAGTCCTCAGAATTTGCAAGTGCCGTGGCAAACGCCCCACACAAATAATCTCAGCAGCCCATGCATGTTGAGACCATAAATACAACATTCCCAGTGTGAAGGCTGCCTGATGGATCACCCATCAGAATGAGTGCCATGGAGCTCAACTGCTGAGCTTTGGATGGAGAGACTGGCATGTTTCTTTCCAGGGGGCCCCCATGTGCTCTTTTTCCTGCAGTTCCATTTTGCAGATTTGGCATAAACCAAAGCACCCACATGTGAGCTATTGTGAGATGCCATGCAAAGCAAGTAGACATCCCTAGGCTTCACCCAACAACAAATCTTATGTCTCCATCATTACACCCTCAGACACACACCATCTCTGATTCACTTTTATTCTCACAATAATAAAATAATTTACCAACCACAGTTACCATCATACTACATGCCTACAGTGCCTGTATGGGACACTGGAGTCAGAGGTCTCTGTGCCCCCACCCTTCAATCTCTTGCTAGAAACATTTATTTTAAACAAACTCAGCATTTTTAATTTCTCTCTCTCTCCTGAATAACAAAGATACTAACGGCAACCAAAACAGGTCTTGAATTGGTCCAACGTGAAATGTGGCAGCTGGTACAGCTCAGTCGGTAGAGCACAAGGCTCTTAATCTCAGTGTCGTGGGTTTGAGCCCCATGTTGGGTGAAAGATTCCTGCATTTCAGGGAATTGTGGTCCCTTCCAACTCTACAATTCTATGATTTCAACCCAGGATTTAAAAAAAGAAAAAACAGGTATTTTGTTCTGTAAGGGCTGCCTGCCACCTGAATGATCCCAGTGCGGGATTAGTAAGATACATCACGGGGGGAGGACTGAGTGAGGTTCTGCAGAAGGAACCTATGTAGGTGTCTCCTGGGCCTTCAAACCACAGCTGGAGATGCCAGTGGCCAGAAGCAGCTGGAGTTAATGTCTGGGATTCCAGCTAAGCCCACTGGTGTGCAGCTCTTTGTGCTTCAGAGATGCCAGGCTCGCGACTAACGCCCATGTACAACCGAACCCCTTGAGTGCTCATGCACAAGTCAGAAAGGAGGAGAGGAAGTGCCAGGGAGATGATGTGAAACACAAACGTGCCAGGCTGCCCAAGCCGTGCCTCCTGCTTTTTGCAGGGCTCCACTGTGCCCAGTAGAAACCGCAGAGTCTCTGGAGCGTCCAGCAGAGGCCATGGTCTTCATTTGCAGACGCTGACCCACTCCGTGAGCCGGCACTCCTCGCAGGCCACGAAGCAGCACCAATGGAACTTGCAGTTGCATCGCTCGCTGCGTGTCTGCCGCAGGATGTTGTGTCCCCGCCCGCAGCACAGGCTCTCGCAGTTGTCCATGCCCGGGCTGGTCTTGTTGCATAAGCGCCCTTGCGTCCCCATGGAGTCCAGTGCCGGCTCCCGCTCACAAAAGTCCGGTGACTTCTCAAAGTAGATCAGGTCGCTGATGCCGGCCCGGCGCCTCTGGCGGGCGTGGCTCAGCTCCATCTGCCCTGTGTTCCTGTTGTGGGGCCGGATCAGCATGGCCCCATAGAAGCGCTCCTTGAGCAGGGAGCCTACCAGGCGGAACTCAGGGGTCACCTGCCAGCATGTCTTCAGTTGGCAGCTCCCTGAGGTGCCGTGGCACTTGCATTTCCTCCGCATGTTCTCCATCACCACCTGCCAGGGGCACAAGCAGACAGTGGTTAACAGAATTCAGCTAAGGCTTTGCCTTGCACTGCAGTTTCATATTCCCCTCTAGCACACCTTGTTCCCAATGGGCAGCTTGGCTTTGCCATCCCTTGGAACCAGTGTATGCTGCTGGGGCAAAGGGCTCTCTATGCAGTTTTGCCCAGTTGAAACAAGTGGCCACACAAAGGGTTCTCCAATGGCTTGCTTCATCTTGCTGGGCCAAGGAGAGCCACCAGAGCTCAAACTGCTACTTTCACAAAGCCAGATAGCACAAATCATGAATACAACAGCAGCCCAACTTTCCAGGTTGAAAGAACAGGACTAAAATTGTATATAAAACATGGCTAACACGCAAACTAAAAACAAATATAAACAAAAGCATCATTACAAACAGTGTTAGCATCAATAACTGTTTAACACAAATGTAACTGCGGGCTCTTCCACACTTCCGCTTGTGCCGTCCCTAGAAAGCACAGATCCCAGCAGTTTTCCACTTGACCCACTCCTTTCCAAGGAAAACCCCGCTCTTTAGCAATAGAATGGAACAAATGGCAATCTGGGGGAAACCCAAATTTCCATTTGCTCCAACTGAGCACTAAAGAGCGGTTTTCCCTAGGGGAAAACAGCAGAACAAGAGGAAGTATGGATTAGCCCTAAATCATGTGTCTGGATGGGCTTGCCAAAACATTTTTTTTTTCAGACAGGTATCAAAGCGTTCATCCGCACTTCCCCTTCCTTTGCTCTTTCCAGGCACACTCTGTGATTTAAAGCTCCATGTCCAAGTGCCCTTTCCCCTGTCCCTTCTGGAACTTTCCCTGTGAAAACCTGCTCTTTAAAGCCCCATTGGAGCAAACATCAATTTGTGGAAAACCCGAATTAATGTTTGCACTAGTTCAACTTTAAACAGTGGGGTTTCATGGGGAAAGCTCGGGGCAAAACAAAAACAAAAAAAACTACTTGGACACAGAGTGCCTCTGCCTGGAAAGAGCAGGGCAAAATGTAAGTGTGGATAGGCCCTTAAGCAGTATAGTAGAGGCACCTGCCTAACGTCAACTGGCAGAGAGTTCCAGAGTCACACTGACACAGCCGCCACACCAAAGTGCAGAATTAACATTCTACGGCTCTTGTAAAAAGTGCAAGTAACACAGATCAAAGTGATTCAGTAGGCACATAGAGGGAAAGGCTTAGGAAAATTAGTCCCAAGTTGTTAAGGGCTGTAACAGCTTAAACTCAGCCTGGTACATCTGAATTTCAATAATGTGATTAATCATTGTCACCTATAACGGAGGGAGGAGAGGTCCTTCCGCATGTGGGATGTAGGTGTGAGCGGCATTTGCCCTTCCCAGGATTCCATATAAATACATCCAAACTGTTCCCAGTTGCTATGGTGTTCATTAAGAGGTGGGATGAGGATAGTTTGTTCAACCCTGTATGGGTGCAGCTGTTGTACCTGGTTACATGCAGCGACGTGCGGTCAGGGATTACACGGCTGCAAGAGGGTAGGGCTGTTTGCAGAGTGAGAATGAAAGATGAAGCTGATGCTCTAAAATTATGCATCAGTAACTCAGATTTAGACAAAACAAAACAAAATCCTTCCAGCAGCACTGAATGTTGTCAGATTTAGACAACATTCATATCACAGGATCTTTTCATTTAAAAAGAAAGAGAAAAAAGCTGGCTTTTTAAAAAGGTACTTATCTCCCCCTCCCCAACACACTTTATTTTGGAGTCTTGCTGCGAAGTACACAGGGCACTAAGGTTCCTTTCTGTAACTATAAAGGCAAGAAATGTGAAAGCTGCCTTTCGTGATTTCTGCAGGAAAAAACTAAAACTAAAATGCAATTTTAAAAAATGGAAGCTGCAAATATGAACAGCACAATGTGTAATCACCCCTCCCTCTCAAATGGAAAGGTGTGTGTGTATACTACTTCCAAGTATTGAGCAACTGCATAGACAAAGGCCACAGAAGAGACATTTGAGTTTTGTTTTGGATTCCAAATTTCTGGTTCTGCGAGAAGAAATGTAACTTTCAACATCCTGATTTGGTTTCCCAAGCTCTAACTATTGCAACTGTGTTTATTCTGAGTTTTACTTGATCTGAAGCTCCATCTGGGACTCTGGACTGAAATGATTATTGTTATTAAAGTGGGCCCTGCCCAAGTTTATCATCTGAAGATCAAAACGAGACACATTAGGGAGGAAAGAAAAAAAAGGGGGGGAAGGAGCAGGGTCAATCAAGACTCTTCAGAGTAAAAACAAGAGAAAATGAGTTGTTTGCCAGGTGGAAGGGCGAGAAATGGGATCCATGCAGGGAACAGAGAGTGCAAGTTTAGGACTGATTAAAGGGCTGGAAACTGTAGAAAGAAGGGTCTAAGCAGCAACGCAGAGAGAAAGAAGAAAGGATTGATACAGAAGAGGAGAACATTGAGATATCTGAATATACTCACAAGAGGTTTAAAGCTAAAACAGGGAGAAAGAAAGACTGCTGCAAGCTCATCGGGATAACCAGCATAAATGATCTCCCTACAGTACAGAGAAGAGCTGCCTACTCACTGTATGGCCAACTATCTCCAGGATCTTGAGGGAGCATGCTTTTGCCCACCTGCCTGGTACCTATACTGAATGTTCAAATGTGTTCTCGCTACTAGAAAAAAAGTCCCGAAGCTGAGATACACCAGGGATGGGGGGTGGGAGTGGAATCACCAACTAGAGAAGGGTTGGGGGAAACTGGTTCTCCAGCTGCTGATGAATTGCAACGTCCATCATCCTTAACCATTGGGCCATGGTGACTGGGACTGTCAGGAGTTCAGTAACATCTGAAGGGCCAGAGATTCCCTGCCCCTGAGCTAGACGGTCCGGCCGTAGCATCTATCTCATATTATGTTTGGATCCAGCTAAGATGACTGGTTTGGCACTGGGATGCAGAAGACCTTGGGGCTAATAGAGAATTAGATATATTGTACAACAGAAGCTTCCACTTGATTGGCATGTAATGAGGCCCTGAAGGTTAACTCTCTGTTTCACCTTGCATGTATGCTTGGAAGGCCTAGGTCAGGTGTGGGGTACCTTTGGCCCTCCAGCTGCTGCCGAACTACAACTCCCACCATCCTTGGCTATGGATCACACATGCTGGGCTGATGGGAGTTGTAGTTCAGCAACATGTGGCAGGCCAAAGGTACCCCATCGCTGGTCCAAGTATATTGGGAGGAGAATGCCTGAAAAGAAAGCAGTTGGGAGGGAGGGTCAGCAGTGGCTTTGGTGTAAAGGGCAGGGGGCTAAGCCAACACGCATGAGTTCCTCTAGGAATAAAGATGGGTAACAAGGTGTGATTCCCTGCATAATATCATGTTAAATAAGTGGAACAAGCCTCAGCCTGGGATTGCTTAATGCTGGATTCATCCTGGCTCAAGATGCGTGGGTGAAAAGACTCGTGAAGGATGTCCTTTTGCTGGCTTCCTGGACGGAAGTGCCCTTGTGTGAGGTTGCTTCTACCCAAGGAAAAGCCCATGTGCAAAGGTGGTGGGAGGTGCTGTGGAGAGAGGCAATGTTCTTTATCCAAGTTTGGATAGGTTACTAGGCAGAGAAGCCTACTTGCTGCTTGAATGCAGCTCGCCCATCACATGCTGCTCCCTCCCTCTAAGATCTGGAGGGTACAGGATTATGGCCCCCTGCCTGTTATGTGTACAGAGGCCTGGAGCAGTGGTGGAGTATGCTTGTACCTCCCCGACTGTCAGGCAGGCATGTTCCAACCCGGGAAGAGGTGACTGCCTCCAGCCTGGGAAATCCCGTCTTCCTAATGGGTGGGCAAGGCAGGAGAGAGCTGGGACTGAGTAAACTGATGCCACTTAGCCCAGACACCACTATTAAAGGGGCAAAAGCCTTGCCCTCTTTGGCATCTGGCCACCCTACACCATATCTATAGTCTCTGGAGCAGATCCTACAAATGGACCCACATAGTCTCTTTGCCTTTCACTGCTGCTTGGTGGCATGCAAGAACACAGCTCCACCTTATGAATTTCTGTCTGCCTCAAATGGCTATTCAAAGCACAACGTAATGAAACAACAATAACTGTTCTATCTTGTGTCTGTTCTTGGAACAACAGGCAAGAGTGGACAAGATGGGGGCCTTGGGAAGCCCAGCTGCAAGTCTGCGCCTATCTATGTAACCTATTTGAGGGGCAATTGGCAACACACCATTTCTCAGCATGATATACCTCACTGGGATGTGTAAGGAAAAATAGAACAAATGCTGTAAAGCTCTTTATACACTGTTCTTGCTACTGGCTTGGACTTACGGCAGTCTTTTCTGCTCTGTTTGCAAGCAGGAAACTATTAATATCAGCGCACCGGAGAGGCATTCCAATACATAGCAGATTCTACCACAAGCGAATTAAGAACGTTATCAGGAAAACTGCCAATGTCTGTAAGTGTGTGTGTGTGTGTGTGTGTGTGAATGAAACAGTTTGCTACCCACCAAGCCAAACTCAATGTACCAGTGAGGTACACCTACCAGGTGTTTTGATAATCACCTCACTCCTGCACATCCAGGTAGGGGCAAAAACAAGTGTTATCAGGCTCCTGGCAACCCATAGCACACTTTTTATGGCAAGTCACTAAGTGTGCAGACCTGCTCCATTTAGCTATATGCCACCTGCTCCTGCATGCATGCTATAGTAATTGTCAGGCAAGTGCATGTGTGGAGGGAGAAAATGGGACTTTGTTTATTCTGTACAGTGGTACCTCAGGTTACAAACGCTTCAGGTTACAGACGCTTCAGGTTACAGACTCTGCTAACCCAGAAATAGTACCTCAGGTTAAGAACTTTGCTTCAGGGTGAGAACAGAAATCATGCTCTGGTGGTGTAGCAGCAGCAGGAGGCCCCATTAGCTAAAGTGGTGCTTCAGGTTAAGAACAGTTTCAGGTTAAGAACAGACCTCTGGAACAAATTAAGTTCTTAACCAGAGGTACCACTGTATATAATTGTGTAC